TCACCTCTACGACACTGGAAGGTACCACCTTGCTCAACCACCAACACCCCATCTGAAATCCTACCACAAGGGTTTCAAAAAAGTATGCATTTGAAGATGAACGCTTGACTCCACCCACTGACAACTAACTTCACCGTTGAAATGCAAGTCATGGAATCCTACCAGTTTTAAGACTTGACACACACTTCTACACACTCTTGTTCTCTTTCAGTCCTGAAAAGTACAGTTCTGAATTTCCTTTAAATATAGATTAACAGATTGAACGGCAAACTGAAGCCCGAGGTAAATGCCAATAGATAACCAGAACAAACAGAAGCAAACGAAATTTAGATCCCGATCAGAAGGCATATGAAGCAAGCCATGGCCACCGACATGCAAGCAACTTGAACGGATCAAAATGTCGCGAGAGAAAGGCTAATAAACACAACAACTGCGACGGAACCTAAGTAAGTCGACAGAGAAGATGATATGGAAGCAAGGGAAAGAGGAAGGAGTGCGAGATTGGAGATAAGGATTACCTATTAATTATTATATCATCCCTACGATAACCCAACGGCGACGAACCCCCACGTATTTCTCAAACCCAGTTGGAAGGAACAAAGAGCAGCGACCCCAATATCCAGTTGATGGAAGGCGGAGGCTAGGTATCGGCCGGCGGTGTAAGACGATGATGCGGAACAAAGACTCTGGAATCCAAATCTGGGAAGGCGACCACGGTGGAAAGGTAAGGAGGTCGTTGGGTGGTTACCCTCCTCAAATCCAATTGAAGAAGAAAAGGAATCGTCGATGGGTGGTTACCGGGGGCCGGAGGTAAGGCAGTTGGGGATTCAGAGGCAGGGGAAGGCAGCTCCGGCTATAGGGCGGATGGAAGAGGGAGGAGAGTTGCAGGGCGATTGCGAGTCTCCGATGACAAGCTTTTGCGGGGTGGCGTTGGGGGTACGGTTAATGGAGGAGAATTCAGGTAGCATAATACCTAAATGACGAAAAGCAGTTTTGTGACTGGAAAAGAACTTGAGGAGCAATTGAAGCGGTAGCCGGAGCCCGTCAATACTCAGCCACGTCAGCTCCCACAAATCACTCTACGCGTAGGGATTTTTGAATGGTGGTGGCAGTTTTAAGTTTCCACTATAAATTATACTGTAGATTTAGCAGTCAATAAAATTGGTGGACTTGGAACAAAAAGAAAAAAACTAAATGTATTATTGTTGTGTACCTATAAGAACAGTAACTTTTTAATTTATAAAGAAATAAGCACAAATGCTAGCAGTGGCCAGAGAGTCAGACTGAGAGAAAGAGAGCGGTTAAAGTGGGAACCAATCTGATTTCTGATCAGACTTTGGGCCAATGGGAAGAGCGAAGAGATAAGAGTTGGATTTCCAAGTGACGTATTGACCGAGGGACTTCAGGGGTCAATTATTTTTACCATTTTTAGGTTGCTGGCTATTGGGCTAAAGTAAACACATGTGTTATGGAGTTATGGGCTTGGCTGGTGCGGTGTTTGCCTTGGCTGGCTGCACTAAACTAAGAGAGAGAAAGAAAGCAACAAGAGAGTTATGTTGGAATGAATCCAAGGTCTCGCGTCTCTTTTGGTTCCCCTGCTCATCTCCCTTCCCTATCCTTCCAATCTCCCTACCTTTCTGCCAACAGTCTCTCGAAGATCGATATGGAGAAAGCTCTCGGTTCGTTTTGGTTGTGTTCCCATGTTATTCAACCGTCTCTCTGTGTTGCTTCGATCCGTAGAGATGGACAGCCAGGCAATCAAACAACATGGTGTGGTGTCTGTGTTGGGACAACTCGGATCCATCCATCTATGGAAAATGATTGAAGCAATGGATCTATGTGGTTTGTATTCCAGTTCATTCATCCTCATGCCTTCATAATGTTTTGTTCTTTCTGTTTAACCTTATATTGAAAGGCCTGATTCTCTATTGTTTCGATTAGATCCCAGATACGAGGAAGGTGGATTCATATATCTTCAATGGTTTTTATGCCGTTCTCGTGTTTCTGGGGGATAAAGTTGCTGTCTTTTTTATCCAATCTCCCAAGAACGGTCTCTTATGCCTTTTGGTCAATGATTCAAAGTTGTCCCAGATCTGGATTTGGTTTTCTTTTGACAATCTAATTAAATCTTTTGGGGGAATTCCTTGTTTTGAGAAGGTGTGTTCTTGAAGTCCTTATTGATTTTACAAGGCATGATCACTAGGGTTAAAAAGAATTAGGTCATTGTGTAGAATTAGGGTTTACAATTGGGAAACCATGACAATGAAGAAGATATTACGGGGAATGATCACTAGGGTTAAAAAAGAATTAGGTCTGAATTAGGGTTTACACTTGGTACAGATTTCTTATTAATCAGGTGGGGAAGATTGATAGTCGCATGATAATTTTGTTTTTGTAGATTCTGGCAATCGAGAAGACTCTACTGCCACTCGAAAACTCTGTAGATGCTGAAGTATTTCAAAGGTCTGGGTGTTTATCGCAATCTCTGACAGCTTGTAATAGTCATGGATAAATGGCTAAGCTTGACTGTCAGGCTACGAGCAACCGCAGGAGAGGGTTACCCGAGATTCAAATGGATTTGCTGCATTACCTTCTAGGCTTATCCGCAAACTTCAGGTTGTGTTTCTGCAGACAAGAAATCTTAGGGTTGTGTTTAAGAGATTTGTGGTATATTTGGCAAAGGAAGGCTTTGCATAGTGTTTTGAATTGAAGACTCCAGTTGTGATTTTGAGTCGTCAGGTGTGTTGGATCTATCATTGAACAGGTAAAAGTGGGTCATCTTCAGATGGGAATTTGTTTGAAGGGTCCTGTTTTAGTGTTTATCTCTTTAGGAGTGATGGTTTTAAGCAAGACCAAGTAAGAAAGAAGTTGTGTTGGATCTTCCATTGAACAGGTAAAGACGGGCCATCATCAGATGGGAATTTGTTTAATGGGGTTCTGTTTAAGGGTTTATCTCTGGAGGAGTCATGGTTTTAAGAAGGACCAGCAACGAAGGACCTATCCCTGCAATTCCAGCTTCAATTTGTCTAAGTTTAGACTTGTATGAATAAATTGGTTGGAGGAATGCTTTTTTGATTTCAGTCAAGCTTAGAAGAATCTCAAGCATCTTCTTGCATCTGTGAAGCTTGAGTGTATAATGATCACCATTAAGTTGCTGGATTCTTGGTGTTGCATAGCACCGTGTGAAGGAAGGAGTAGAATTATCTTCACCAGCCCTCCATTTAGGCTTTTGGAGGTCCCTAAGTCAAGCTCGTTAGGCCCCGCTGACCCTCCACTCCAGCACATATGCTGCGAGTACATTGCTGCAACATGCATGAGTTAATTGGAAAACTAAGGTTCAGTTTCATACAGCTGCAGAAACAAAACGAGATGTTAAATTCTGAAGCAAAGAAGTTGACCTGTCTTGAGGCGCGGCTTGGCCTGCACGTTCAAAGCATCCCTTGGTTCTATCTCGATCTTGTGGATCTTCCTCAACAGTTGGCAATGCAAACATGGTACCTGAGTCATCATTGGAGGGTAGGTTGGCTTACATTGCTACAGCGAACTGATCGCTATCTGCTGCTTTCAACGTGGATGGGTAAACTTGTTTGTCCAATCCATAGGGCTTTGTCAGCGAACTTAGGCTTTGAATAGCAGCAGTGCGTGGCCGAACAAAGGCACCAGTGATAATTCATGAAACAACTTAAAAGGTGACAACATTGTCAAGGGTTTTGTTGGTAGAGAGATAGAGAGAGCCACATCATGCATGGTTTGGCTCGGCAGGATTTTTTGTTCTCGTGCGAGTGAAAACTTAAGAGGATTTCAGACTATGAATCTTACAGATTTCCTGTCTGCAAGATGTGATTTTTTCAGCAGCAGAGGTGATGGAGTATGAGCGGACCAGTTTCAAGGCCATATCTCTCCAGTTCCACATACAATTTGATCCATCTAGATTTGTCTAAGAACGAATCAATTGAGACGGGAAATGCTTTTTTCAGTTAAGCCCAGAAGAATCTCGAAGCACTGTATACAGAGTTGGTACAGTCGAAAGGTTTGAGCTATCGAATCAGTAAGCTCGGTCCATTTACTATTGGAAGCACCACTATTGCTACTGCTATATTACTCATGGAGATCCTAAACCACTATGGCTTCTCATTATCATCTACAATGCCAATCTCAGAACTACCAAGGTTTCTACTTGCTAGTTCCTGTATGGATGCTTGTTTGTTCGTGCGAAGCCAACGTGATGGAGAAGTTACTTGTCACTCGATCTTTATACGGAGAAGACCACTAGCCATCAGATGGAAGGAGGCTCACAGTAGAAAAGAATCAGGTACTCTTTCTATTTTAGTGCTAAGAACAGAATTTTTAGTGCTTGATAGGTGAACATTAGAAGCTAGTCTACTCTACTGTGGTATGGCTTTGCAAAGATCTGATCAGTAGTTTCTATGTGGTATAAATTCTGCTAACTTGGTTTAAGTGGTTCGAATGATAAAAACACTTTGCGCTCCATCTTCTTCCTCTAGACATACTCATCGCTGCCCCCTCTTTTTGCTATTGGTCGCCGATTGGCTCCCTCTGTCTATCTCTCTAAACCCCGTCGCCCGCTGGCGATAGTTTTTCTCTTTTCATATCGCTTCGCCACCGGCGACTCCATTCATATCTCTATCGAAACCCCTTTGTCGACCCCCAAACTCTCTCTCGTAAGAATCCCGTCCCAGGCGTCCCCCCCTTTCTCCCTGAACCCCATCGCCGGTGCCGCAATGCTCACCCGTCATCGGCGTCTCGAGGGCGGGTTCAAAATTCACGTTTCTCAGTCTTAAAGATCGATTCAGAGTTCTATAAATATTTGAATGGGCGATCTGTTTGATAAGCTTGAAATACAACCCGCCGCCCTGATTCGCCATTTTCTCAAAGTCGACGCCACTTTCTTGGCGCACTCAACTTCGTTCTCTGAGATTTAAGCTTTTCGCTTCCGTAATTAGGGTTTCGTTTCTCTTTGTCCCTCCTCCTTGTTCCAAATGCTCGGTGGCGGAAAAACGGACGTGGAAATGGAAACTTCGCCTGGCTACTTCCGGCCCGAAGATATCACCATCGGAGAACAGTTTCGTCGCTACGGGTACTCATGCTCATTTCGAATTGTAATTCTAGAACTCAGCAGGCTACAGTTTCCTTTCTGATTTTTCTCCCTTTTGCGCCAAGAATCTGAATGTATATAGCCAAATTCATAGAGAAGACTTGTTTTCTTGTGAATCAAACGTAACTCTGGATCGTTTTGTTGATTTGTTGTATGAGAATGAACTGTGATTCTTTTTTTGTTACTGAGCTTCTGTATCATTGTACCGTTGTGATTTTTCTGTGAATACTTGCTGTGCAGTACGAATTTGAAGTGCAACTACTCAAGGCTACTGTATGATGGGCCAAGCACACACAGTGTCACACATGATATTAAACAAGAGGCTGATAGTATGGACTCTGATCACTCTGATGCCACACATGGGAAGATGCAAGCTTCTGTTAAACTGAGGTTGGTGATTGATGGATTTTCAGACAGTGATCTTATTGCTGATCCAGAACTCCAGACTGGAACTGAGCTGCTGAAAGCATGCAAGATGGAGGATGAATATCCAGACAGCCAAGAAGCTGTGTTTGGGCTATTTGCATCTCCTTTGGATTGTGCTATTCAAGGTACCTTCCCATTAGTTTATGTTCTAATATGTGAAGCTTGGAAAAGTGTGCCTGATTGTTCGACTGGTATTTGTTCTATAGTGGGACAATCTGGAAGAAAGTGACAAGACTCAAGGGTGGTAGTTGATGTCTTGTCTTCTAGAACTATGTTTTGCTTGGGTTGGGATGTGCAGACAAGATTCAATGTGGCGCCCATTCTTATGCTTTTCTGAATGCTATGCTGTCTGTCTTTTGGTAACGGAGGTCTGTCTTGTACCAGAATGGACTGCTTCATCGAGAAAAAGTTACCGCTGCAGACCTCTAGTTCTCTTCAACGACAACTTAATTTGCTGTCAATGTGTTTTTAAATGTGATACTGCTTGGAGTTCTTTTAAACTGGTAGCGTCTTGAAAGGTTGGAGCTCAGATTTTTAGGTCTCAATAGTTGGTTGAACTGCTGTTGAATGTAATTGCTTTCCCATGTGGTGTCTGTCAATTGCCTTGAATGTTGTCAATGTTGAAAATGAAGTCGTCTATTTTTCATTGATTTATCAATTGAATACGATTTTTTTTTAATGTTTTTGTGTGATGTGGGTTGTCTGTGGATAATTACATTGAACTTTTCATGTTCACCTTCATTCTGATGGCTGTGCTGCATCTACCATGCTATGTGAGCTGTGGTTTGTATAACCTGTTCACTTCTTGCAGGTGCGGAAGACCCTCCTGAAGACCTACTTGTGGTATGCAATTTTATCTCTCTTGGAACCATTCTGAAAGATAATAACCTAAGGAATCTTTTCTGAATCCGCTCATCACATTCTGACTACTAGAAGCACTAATCAGAACATTGCTTTGCATCTTACTAATTGAAAGGTCCCGTTATTAAATTCCCAAAGCTTGACCCCTGTAAACTCATGGAGTCCTTGTTTTGTTTCGAACAGTCTCAACCAATGTCTCATGTAGAGGCATGTCAGTTGGCTGTAAATGACTGCAGCATCACTGTGCATATATATCATGGAGTGGCTGGAGGGATTAGCCTCCAAATCCCTTGATCTTGAAAGCAAAATGATTTCTAACTTTATTGCATTTGCATATTGCATCTCAGTCAAGTGTCTCGTTCCTGTATGTAGAACTGCTTTCCTGTTTATTAGCCTTGCTGGGAAAAGCATTTCTGACTGAAAACTTGCTGGTAACCATATTAGAAGGGTTGTTTTTATCCTCTTAATTAGCTTTTAGGTGATGGTGGCCTAACTGGGGAGATAAGGAACATGTTTGCTTCAACATTTTTTTCTGGCATTTCACCCAGAGTGCATAAATTGTCCCCCCAAGCCCAACTTTGTGATATTTTATCTGCTTCTGACATTTGATTGGAATTTATGTCGAATTCAACCTGAAATGAATATTGATCGACAATCACAGGTACAAGGACTTCGTATGGATACATGTCATCTGTTGACGAAATGTGCATCTTGTATAAAAACTCTTCACGACTTGGATGATGCTCCAACTCGTCAACATGCTCACCAGCTACCAGATGCCCAGGTAGACTGTGTTTGTTCTTGGCTATATGAAGGACTATTATGCCAAAAATCGATACTAGCCATGGACGTGTTGGATATGAATAGTTTAGAATGTTTTAGTTGAATTATTTATGATATACCATGATAGTGTAGCAACTTAAAGCGGATGCTTCCAATTTGTTCTGACGGGGAGGTAAAAACTCGTTTATTTCGTATATCATGATTTTAAGTGTGTTCTGGTAGCATTATTGTAGAGAAACCTTTTGGATGTCATGCCCGTGAAACTGGTTTTTGTGAATACGTGGATCTATTAGCTTACTGTTCCTTCACCTTCCCTGGATGTTATCCATCATATGTAGTACAAGCTATCTGCTTCATGATTTATGTTTCACTGGTACTTAAAGCATTTCTTTGATGTGTATCATTAGGTTATTTGTGGATTTTTAATACCTGCTTGGTCTTATTTTTTCCGCCATTTGTTTCATATCTGAATGTCTGATGTTTATTTCTGTAACTTATTAGACCTATTTACTTTTAGTGACAGAAGAGTTTTAGTTCAATTTTGCAGTCAGCTTGGTGGGTAATGGCCAAGTCATGGCTTGATGTTCAGGTTGGTCTGGAGGCATCTGGCTTAAGACCTGGAAGGTTTGAGCAGCTTAAGAGCCATGGAGATAGTACCGAGGGAAGTACTTTGCAAAATGACAACGGCCCTCATGCTTTCGGTGGACCAGATAGTTGACCACTGCAGGGCAAGAATCAGCAACCAAGGAACCTTTCAGCTCTTCCTAAAAAACTCCATTCCGGGTGGCTTCTTCATTAACTATTTTGATATATCAACTAATTTATTATTTTGTTTTATCATTGAAAATGTTGACAGTTCAATTTCTGGACTATCTAGGGAACTGGTTAATGAAGCTGTTATTAGAGGGTGCAAGGAGCAGCATCGGCAGATTCAGGTGTTCTTGAGAAACAATTCAGTGAGTTTGCCTCTCAGAGTGTGCATAACTACTGCTTTGAGATGCTCCTTCCCTGTTTACGTCATTTAGGCTTTTATGAAGATAGCAATAAAGAAAACGAATTCGCCAGCTATGAATATGTTTAAAATCTTTTTAACGATTTATGCCACTTTCGTTTGGAATTCCCTTGTGTGTGGTGCTTATTTTATCTGGAGATATTGCATATTTTTTAGTTTCTTGCGTTTTGCCCTATTGATATAGTACTTTGCAGATATGGTTGTGGATAGCACCTTTCGAAGTTGACGAGAATGTTCGCAGGTCAGGTGTTTCAGAAAGCAGTATAAATCTGTGAATCCTTCTTTTTTCTTGACCCTTAACCTCCTCCTACTAACTCCAGTTCTTTGTCAATGTGATTTTAACAGTCCTCACGATGATCCTCAGTTGATACGGCTTGGTGCTAACCTAGTGCCTTTACTTCGGTATTTACTTTCTGAGGTAATGAAGGGTTCCTTCAGAGAGATGCTAATGAGCGCTGGTGATCTCATTCTTCACATGTAAGATTTTTTGCTATGAGTTATGACTTAGTTGCTGCGTTCAGTCGGTGGATGTATGATTCCCCCTAGATTTAGTAATGGGTGGAACTTGGGATTTGATTTATGTTGGAGCCCTTAATATACAATGGACTGATAATGTAGAATGGCTAGACTTGTCTGTGCTGTCAGGAATTAACATTTGTGGCATAGTTTTTGAATAATCAGTGTAAGGGCACTTTATGTGACTTTAAATCCTGTAAGGAACATTTGTTGTTGGGTCTTGGAATAGTGTGTGTGTAATGCCCACTTTATGTTAACCTCTGGTCATATTCATGTTGAAAATGTCATTCGAGATTTTAAACAAAGTTCTCCTGCTGATTTTCTCATTGTAACCCTCCTTCCAGAAATATCATATTTCTATGTTTCAAGCAACATGAGGAGTTAGTTTGCATTTATGCTTCTTAGCTTGTACACACATTGAACTCTTTGTGCACTTGTTGGATTAAGGCTAATCAGTATGTAGTTTTGATTTCCTACTTATAATACAGTGCATTCTTGTGTGGTCATGGACTCTCATAATGGGGGTAAAATCGATCATAAATTTTAGCTAAAGATATGCATTCTGTTGTGGTTCTGGCTTGCTTTGATATGACACTAGCTTAATTGGGGCACAAATTAGTGAACTACGAGAAGAGTTGTTACAGGTTTTTCCTCGAAGAGCTAGTCTTGCACTAGAAGATTTGGTGATTACCTTTTTTGTTGAATGATAATTTTGATCTGGACATTGTGTTCTAACACTCCTCATTTTCTTGTCATCCAGTGTGCACGCGAAGTACAAGCTTTTTCTTTCTGGCATGGAGTACGTACAATTCCGTCCCTTAGATGATTCTAAAGGTAGCGTTGAAGAGATTATAGAGAGGTACATACTTACTTCCTAGAAAGTGATTGAAATGTTCTAATGCTCTTCAATTGTTTGTGCAGGAAATGAAAGTTCCTGGCTAGCTTCTGTTAAAGATCATGTATTTTGGACAGAAACTTCAGTTTACCTTGAGTTGCATGCCACTGCAATGCCTTGTCTGTCATCAGGTGAATGTATGAGCCCAGATGCTACAGTTTGCACTGCATTGATGAGTGCTCTTTACTCTGTGAGTGAGAAGGCTGTGCTTCATCGCCAATTAATGGTATGTATAATTGCCTCCTTCCTCATTAAGTTAATCCAATGTGCATTGGATAACTGATTAGATTTGGCTGGATTTTGACTTATATTTTATATCTCATTTTAGATTAGGTTGGAGCATTTTGCAGAAAATTGCGGAATATGATGGCAAAATTGAGGCAGGTGTATATGCAACCCAGTGTAACAATTTAAAGCACATACTTCCAATTTGTTATGTTCATGGTAAGTATACTGTCCTTAATAATTTCGTATGTACATAAGATTTTGAGAGTGGTAATGGAAAGATTGTCCTCTAGAAGACTGTTCTGCGTGGGTTGTGATTTTGATACTGTCCAGGGTGGTGCATTCTCTTGTGATTTTCAGAATGCTAGTTTGTCTCTGTTTTGGTAATGAAAGCAGGTCTGGTTCCAGAATGAACTGTTTCATGAATGACAATTTACCTTTCTACCTTTGCAGTCCTCTGATCTCTTTAAGGACAACTTAATTTGCTGTCCCATGTTTTGTTCAATGTGATACTCGTCAGAATTCTTTGAAGTGATATTTTTTTGGAGGGTGGGGACATATATTTTTTGCTCTCGAGAGTTTGCTTGAATATGTAAAGGGATTCATGTCTCCTATCTTTGGCAGGCTTGATGCCAATTCCATATGTGACTTTGAGATCTGAGATATCATGGCATAGTGTGTCAGAAGATATAAGGTCAGTGTCTCAGTGACAATAAATCTGAAACACCTGCATGTTGCGACCTTGGTTTTGTCAGTCTTTGTCGTGCAGACTTATATTTGAAACTCTACCGGGTTATCCCTTTGTCTTTATGATTGGAATAATTAGAATAAGCAGTTTGAATATAACCTTTGTGATTGGTTTTCCTTGTTATTGCTCGTACAGGTCCCAGTCCAATGAAAGGCATCAAGTTCTAGAGGACGAATTAATGCAGCAGATGGTTCAGCTCCTTCTTGAGGAGGCTGGCATCGGGTCACTTATGTGGCATGGGAAAGGTGAGCTTGCCATTGATGAAAGTTTTTTTTTTGCAACTTCTGTTTTTGTTAGAGTTTGATAGTTATTTATACTGTCTGCATTTGCGCTGTGAATGTTACATTTGGATTCTGGTATTATGTTACATGGTGTAATTAGTAGCTAGGTGTGCTCAGTATCATGTTGTTTTTTGAATTTGATCATGCCAATATGATGTGAAAACCACTCTTTTAGGATTTTGTTTTATGAGAAACTTAAAGGTGGAAATCACTGCTTTAGTATTTTATTTTATGCTGTGAAGTAACCTTATGTTTCAGAAATTTTTCTGCCACAAGAATAAAGTTTTTGTGCAACTTCTTCCCTAAATTACTGGATCCATTCTGTTAGTGTGCTCTAATTTGTTCTCCTAGATCGTCTAGAAAATAGGGAAAAAAAACAGTGTAAAAGCTTTGTTTTCAGGTCCAGCTGTGCCTCCAAAGATGAAAGGAGTGAAAGATAAAGACAAAAGCAAACAAGAACCTCCTAAGAAGGGAGCAAAAGAGAAAGGAAACAAAAAGGGAGAAGGCCCTTCGAAGGAGAAAGGAGAGGAAAAGGAGAACGAGAAGGACTCAGAAGAAGAAAAGGAGTATCTGTCTCTTGACGATCTAGAAGATCTGGACTTACCATACAAACAAATAGATTGGACTGGAGAGACTGATCAGAATCCACCTAATCAACATCCACATCGGCCTAGATTGATCAAAGATCAAAGGGATAAGTCCAATATCATTCCAGAGATCATCACTAGCCCGGTTAGAGATCAGGGTAATAAGAGTAAGTTCTATGATTTTAAATTCGTGATTTTAAGCTTTTTTTTTTTTTGGATGAATGAGAGGGATTCTATTTCATCAATAGGATCAAAACATAGGGCAGTTTTACACGTCAACCATAACTCTATTCTATAAACTATCATTTTACAGTACATTGCTAACTCTCTAATTATCTAACTGCCTAAAGTAAACTTCTGCCATTGCAATAGCAAAATCTGGGCACTCCATGCATTTAAGTTCAGCATCAGCTCTCAGTCTTTCTGCTAACTCATCCACCTGCAAACTTGTACTTCGAAACACACGAAGACATCTTTCCCTCCACTCTGCACAGGAGGGCATGTGCCATCTAGCCCTTATATCCACTTCTGAACATTATTTAGTGTAGTTATCCTATCAAGAGCAATTAGTCAAGTAATCATAGTCTCTTGGCAGTGAATGCTTTCTCCATACTAACTCATGCCAAGGTACAATTGGCTGCTTTGGTCGAATTGTGTCCCACACAACCTGAATTGTAAATCGAGACATAGGGTTAGAAAGCCAAGTTATTCCATCATCTGTAATTTGCAAAGCTGATTTAACTTTGTCTCTCAGTTGCAGCACCTTGTTCCACAACCAAGACCCTTTTGTTTCAACTTCCCAGATATCCAAGTTCCTTAGCCTGTAATCTTTGAGCCAAGCAATCCACAGAGTTTGTTGATCATTCAAAACTGCCCACATATGCCTAACAAGTAGAGGTGGCAATTAGGATCCAAATCCATGAATCCAATCCAATCCATCCACCAAATTATCCACTTAATCCAATCCATTTAAATCCAATCCATTTGATCCAAATCCAATTGGATTGGTGGATTCATGGATCAATCCATGGATCCAAATTGCAAATTACGATTTGGTACCTATATTTTTTACATTTTACATTTTGGTACCTAAAATTTATATTGTTATACGAAAAATATCATTGGAAAATAACATTTTGGTACCTAAAAATTTTCAAAATTTACATTTTGGTCCTAGCCTTGGATGTCATTTGGATTCATGGATCAATCCACCAATCCATTTGATCCAATCCATGAATTCACCAATCCATTTGATCAATGGATCCACCAATCCAATCCACCAATCCACGAATCCGATCCAATTGCCACCTCTACTAACAAGCCAGACCTGGTTCCAACTATAGAGATCCTTAAAACCAACTCCCCCTTCCTTCTTCGGCAGTGCAACCATTGACCAGTTAACCTTTGCCTTCTTATGCTCATGTTCAGAGTTCTAGAGAAAGTCAGAGCACGGCTTTTCCACCTCTTTCATTACTTTCTTTGGTAATTAGAAAACACTCATCCAAAACTGGGCTATGCTGGCCGATATTGCTATAATAACTTGTATCTTCCCAGCATGGGAGAGTAGTCTATGTTCAAAGCCCTTTATTCTCCTTGTAATTCTGTCCACTAGTTGCCTGCAGTCAATTGAATTCTATTTCCTTGCCACTAATAGAAAACCAACAATCTAACTGGCAACTCTCCCTGAAAGCCAGACAGTTTTACCACTGCAGCCTTAACTACTTCATCTATTCCAGAACAGTAGATAGCACTCTTACTAGGGCTAGTCTTGAGATTCTGTAGAAGTGCTATAAGATAGAAGCTACTACCTGCAACCCTTCTTTTGTCTTCATAGTGAATATTAGAAGGTTATCAGTAAAGCTAAGGTGAGTTAATCCTCTACCTTAGCAGTCTGGGGATGATAAGGCAGAATCTTCCTCGAAGCAGTCCTGTTAAGTTATTTATGATATTAACTTCCGTTTTTTGTTTCGAACTTCTAGGGATATGCTAGGCAATATCGGTAGCTTCAGCAGTGGAGGCCGTGATGAATCTTCATCGTGCGGAGGATGATGACACGCAATGGATGACCTCTTCACAAGAGTTAATGGATTGGGTACAGTATGATCTTGATAAGGTTAAAAACAGTGGTTTGCGTAGAATGTACAATGTATGGAATCATGTGTTCAAGAAAAAAGTCTCCAAGGAGGAAAACTATAAGTATGTTGGTGAACCTGCGTTGGAGAAGGAACGTTTTGCACTAGGAGTGACAATACCAGAAAGAGTGGTAAGTTAATAACTGATACTAGAGGTATTTTTTGGTTGCACTTCTCTTATTTTCTGTCTTTTTTGTTGTTGCAAACGATGCAGGTGTTGAGGATATTAGGTTTTGAAGTGATAGAGCCTGTAGATGATGAAAGGCTTTTACTTAGACAACTTGCTACAATGTTAGTTGTGGCTTCTCTGGAGGCAACTCCATCATTCCTTGATTGGAAAAGGGTAAACGGTTTGTTTGAATATGATAATAGGTTCTTTGAGGTTTTTGTTGAACAAATTTAATTATGTAAGCCTGATTTTGTTTGAATAGCAAACCATTTTCACTGGGACTCTGAGACAGCAGAGGATCGGAAGGCAAGGCGTAACAAGAAGGTTGAGTTGCACTCCATCCTCGTTGTAGGCTATGGAAAGATTGCTAATGGCCTGAACTATTTCCTCATTAGGAATTCATATGGGAAAGGCTGGGGGTTTAAAATTCGTGGAGCTAACAGAAGGTGGGGGGCTAAAGGCTCGGGAGGGTATTGAGAGCATCCTCGCGGTCAAGTGGACAATCATTGTTCACTTCATTTTCTTATCCAAAACCATGGGTGCCTCCCTAAGGTACTCTTCTTGATGAATACTTTACTTAATAACACACATCAAGAAGGGGAAACAGATGCCTTGAGCATTGAAAGTAAAGCTTGTTCATCTTGGTCGATACTGAAGGTTGTTTGTTCATATAAGTAAGTAGTGATGCTAACAACCTGATCGACCAAGATGAACAAGCTTTACTTTCAATGCTCAAGGCATCTGTTTCCCCTTCTTGATGTGTGTTATTAAGTAAAGTATTCATCAAGAAAAGTAAATACGTCGGAAGAGTACCTTAGGGAGGCACCCATGATTTTGGATAAGAAAATGAAGTGAACAATGATTGTCTACTTGACCGCGAGGATGCTCTCAATACCCTCCCGAGACCTTTAGCCGCCCACCTTCTGTCAGCTCCACGAATTTTAAACCCCCAGTCTTTCCCATATGAATTCCTAATGAGGAAATAGTTCAGCCCATTAGCAGTCTTTCCATACCCTACGACGAGGATGTAGTGCAACTCAACTTGCCTTCCGATCCTCTGCCGTCTCAGTGTCCCCAGTGAAAATGGTTTGCTATTCAAACAAAATCAGGCTTACATAATTAAATTTGTTCAACAAAAACCTCAAAGAACCTATTATGATATTCAAACAAACCCGTTTACCCCTTTCCAATCAAGGAATGATGGAGTTGCCTCTAGAGAAGCCACAACTGGCATTGTAGCAAGTTGTCTAAGTAGAAGCCTTTCATCATCTACAGGCTCTATCACTTCAAAACCTGATATTCTCAACTCCTGCATCGCTTGCAACAACAAAAAGACAGAAAATAAGAGAAATGCAACCAAAAAAAACCTTAAGTATCAGTTATTAACTTACCACTCTTTCTGGTATTGTCACTCCTAGTGCAAAACGTTCCTTCTCCAACGTAGGTTCACCAACATACTTATTGTTTTCCTCCTTGGAGACTTTTTTCTTGAACACATGATTCCATACATTGTACATTCTACGCAAACCACTGTTTTTAACCTTATCAAGATCAGACTGTACCCAATCCATTAACTCTTGTGAAGAGGCCATCCATTGCCTGTCATCATCCTCCGCACGATGAAGATTCATCACGGCCTCCACCGCTGAAGCTACCGATATTGCCCAACATATCCCTAGAAGTTCGAAACAAAAAACGGAAGTTAATATCATAAATAACTTAATAAGGTAACAGGATTGCTTCGAGGAAGATTCTGCCTTATCATCCGCAGACTGCTAATGTAGAGGATTAACTCACCTTAGCTTTACTGATGACCTTCTAATATTCACTAAGGGGACAGAAGAAGGGTTGCAGGTAGTAGTTTCTATCCTATAGCACTTTTACAGAATCTCAGGACTAGCCCTAGTAAGAGTGCTATCTACTGTTCTGAAATGGATGAAGTAGTTAAGGCTGCAGTGGTAAAACTGTCTGGCTTTCAAGGAGAGTTGCCAGTTAGATTGTTGGTTTTCCATTAGGACAAGTCTGTTTATTGTAGAAAGTTAAACTATGAATGACATCTATGAATCACCTGGGTGAAACTGAATGAAGTCATTGTTACTTCTGTATTACATGCTTGCAACCTTGGGAACTGGTAGATGATGGCATGTAACAGGACCATAATTGTTAGCCTTACTAGCAACTTATGGAAGATATGTGCTTCGTTCAGTGTTTGTTAATTCGATACACATAGATAAGGAGATGCACGAATCTATCTTTGAAGTTTGTACTAACAAATGCATCAAGTTTAATAAATCTTTAAAGATGACAGATGTTTTTGAGTTTTATTGTTACTTTGATGATGCGTGTTTCCCCTACATTCGGAGTGGTTCCGTTTATGGCTTACTGCTCTTTTAAAATTATGGTTCCTGCATCTGCAGTATTCGGCTCTGGAATTTCCCTTACTAGATGATTAAGTATTAGCTTGGAATTTTCCTTATCTGATGATCAAGTATGATCACTACAGTATAATTTTTCAATTACCTTGGACTGAGCAATTGTCTGCTCGGTTTTCCAAAGCTGATGCAGCTTAATTTGCATGAGCAAGCAGGCAAGCATGAACATTTTGCTTTAGACTGTTAATGCTCTGAATCTATGGAGCCTCAGTTCCCATGTTCAGGTTGTTTCGTATTTTGCATACCCAGTCTTTGCATGCTTGAGTAGTGAGGACGTGGCAGCCCTTGTGGTTGTCTCATCCTCAGTTTTTCTGCAAAACTGCCCCTCTCCCTTTCTTTTCGTGGGCAAGAATGCAGAAACCAAGTTCTTGTTTCATGTGAAAGGGTTTCATAGTTCTTTAATATCTCTTGCAAGCATCTAAATTTGGCCATTTGGTTTCTCCGCTGCACTGAAACTCCTATTCTTTTGTTTGCTTTCTCTATATCAGGAACAGGTTGACCTGACTTGTACTTAAATGGAGCAGTGGCTACATTTGGCTGGTTAATGAAGTTTGGAGAACTTTGTGAGGAAACATGCAGGCTCTCTGGTGAAGCAGGTGAGCTCAGGGAAAGAGCACTTTTGTTTTTGTTTTAAGAATGTAATTGAAAGCATTTATCTTGAAAGTGAGTGTTGGAGAATGCAGGGTCCGTTTATGCACACACTTGAGGCACTTTGGCGAGGCTCGGAGCGTTTGATGCCTACTGGTGCAGTTACCATAGAGTTAAATATGTACTCCTTACTCTAGCTTTTATCTACTGATGAGACGCCTGAAAATCAAATTGATCTGACTGAAAAATGAAAGCAAATGCAGATGGGAACTTGCCTTTACAGGCTTGAGCAAGTTAGTTGGCAGAGGCCTTTGATACTGCTTCGGATAAGCGATTCTCTTGTTTGTTGCTTGAAGACGAATTAATTCAAGCTTGGAATTTGCTGCTTGATAAACCTCGTGAATGTTTACGGTCGGAAAGTAATCTCTTTGGTGGTGGTGTAGCCAAAGCCTCAGGATTTTATGCAAGTGTTCCAGTCTATTTGGGGATGGTAGGGCGGGACTTGCAAGGAGCACTTGGTAATTTAGAATTATAGAAGAGTAAACTTGATTGTTGTAATATCTTTTTTGTGGTGGAAAGGAGGACGCTAAGGGGCTCTGGCTCTCTAATCTCAATTATTAATCATGGAGGCCCCGAAAACATCTCGATACAACCAGCGATCCATAACTGGCTCAGTAACATCAACAATGGACGCCCAATATGCATAGCATGTCCCAAGCTAGATATATATGGTAGCTTCTATCGTATCCCGGGTAAAGTTCGGGATATTTCCGTATCTTGGGTGATCTTCACCGTACACAAGATCTCGACGGTTCTAATATTTCCTGCGATAAATGGGATATTATTAATGAATAAAATTACCAAAAGCCTCTTACAACTAGGGATGGCAATTTGAACCCGCCCCACCGGGTATTACCCGACCTGATCCGCGATGGGATGGGTATTACCTGACCCGCAGTAGCATGGGGCGGGGCATGGGTATCAACTTCTGACCCGCCCCGCCCCATTCTTGGCCCGTTCTAGGTCAATTTCTTACACCATCCATTCATATATCCTATTTTGGCTTTTCTTCAACTAGTTAGACTTGATCTTTCAATTAAATAGATCCAATTACCCATTATATTATCACTATTATTCATTCATGAAGTCTTTCCTCTTCGTTCTATCGTAAAAAGTAAAATTTTGCTTGTATTTTTTTCGAATAGCATATAAGAGTGGGTCGACCCGCCCCGCCCCGTACCTACGCGGGTATTACCCGCCCCAACCCGTAGTAGCGTGGGATGGAGCATGGGTATTGAGGTACCCGCCCCGCCCAGACCCATTCCCATCACTACTTACAACATTTAATTGTTTTCGATTTAATCCGTTTAACACATCTCGGTCGGTTGGATGGCTTTAACGAATCAGGGTTTTTTTTAGCTTCCAACCATTGGACCAAACCCCACTCCCCAAAATGCAAATCCCCTAAAATGGTAGGCTACCCTCCCCGACCTCATTTGAAGACCAATTCTATTTCCCTCCTTGTTCGTCTTCTTCTTCTTTGTCTATCCCTTTTAGTTGCTGGTCGATCTCCCACCTCTCTTCCCCAGCACGACCGGACAATCCCTCCGCCGACTGCCGGAACTTGTGCCTGGAATAGTCGATCTCAATTCCAGCCCCTACGAACCTTCTGCTGCTTTCTTCGATTAATTCCCTCCCTAGTCTGATAGAGATATGATCGAAATTACTTCATGGCCTGTAATTTTGATGTTCTAATTTATTTTAACATTCTGGAGTAGCAATTAACATAGAGACATCGAATCAGTTTTGAGCTTCTTAGAGTGTGTTTATTTTGATGTTCTAAACTGACATCCCAACATTTGTTGGTGGTAATGAAGTTCGGTAGGAAACCTAGCTTTCTCTTACGTTGGAGACAGGTGAATGATAAGGAAGATGGGAGAATGTAGGGTTTAATCGGAAAATACTTAGCTGGACAACCAAAAAAATTCTATTTAGGCCCACTTTAGCCCACTATTTAAAACAAAGCCTGCATTCAATCAAGGGCTAATACCACTACAACACCCGAACTATCGCGAAAATGCCACTTGTGTCCTATTGTTTCCAATATTCCATCTGTGTCCTGAACTATGATACTTTGTGTCATTTGTATTCTGTCAATTTCGTTGACCGTTAAAGATAACGGTTGACCAAACGGTGGTCAACGCGAAGTTGACTTTTGTTGACGTGGCAAAAAAAGAGGCTGCCACATAGGTGCCACGTCATTGACCTAATATTTTTTTAATTCAAATTAAATAAAAAAATGATTTAAAATTAAAAAAAATGTAAATTCAATTATGTTATTAAACCAAAATTTTAAAACAAAATAATAAAAAACTCTTCTTCTTCTCTACCGATTCACACTCTCCCTCTGAAAAATCTCCCAATCCGGCTCAGATGCGCCAACTCGCCAACTCGCCAAAAATCTCCCAATCCGGCTCTGAGAATCTCTCTGAAAGATAACCCAACTCGCCAATCTTTCATCGTGCCGCTACAATGGCCGGAACCCAGAGAATGGGGTTAATTGAAAATCAAAATCCCAAATCGGGTAATTGCCAGAATCCAAATCGATTCTTTTGAATCCCATCATCGGAGACAGAGGGATTCTCAGCCCATGATTCATGTTCAATGATGGAAGATTTTGGCGATGAATCTAGAGAGGATTTGCGTAGGCGGCGGTTAATCTTCCTACTCTCGCGATCTGGAGAAGAGAAGTCGGTCGCCAGTGGAAGGAGTGATGGTGCCGCCGAGCTACTGGCTCCAATCGATGGGGCGAGCGGCGGGGGGCCTGCCTCTGTCCATTCTGTCTTTGCCTCAGTCTCTGTTCGGGCGATTGGAGAAGAAGAGGAAGGAGCGAGGTCGGCGAGGCGCGGCGGGCGAGGTCGGTGAGGCGGGGAGTCGGTGAGGCGGGGGTTGGGGAGGCGCGGGGTCGGCGAGGCGCGGCGGGCGAGGTCATCGCCGGAAGCGCAGGGTCTCGAAGGGGCGACGGCAGGCGGAATTGGAAAGGGGTCGATGAAGAAGGTGTTTGGTTTGGAGGGTGGAGGCGGCGTAAGATGAGGGAGGGAGGCAGAGAGTGATGATTAGGGTTTCAATTAGGTTAGGGGAAGAAGAGGTAGGATTTTTATTTTATTTTATATTTTAATTATTTCCTTTTTCTTATTTTATTAATATTAGATGGAAAAAATTAATATTAAAAATTCCACGTCAGCTGCCACATCAGTGCTGACTAGATTTTCTGTTAAAAACTAACGGTCAACAAAAGTCAACACTAACGGAATCATAGTTCAGGACACAGATGGAATATTGGAAACAATAGGACACAAGTGGCATTTTCGCGATAGTTCGGGTGTTGTAGTGGTATTAGCCCTTCAATCAAACGATCAACTAAAAGTTAAAACCCTAAACAAATACCAACTTACGGCATGTTTGTCACAAATAGACGCCCTCTGAACTTTCCAATTTCTAGTGATTATCTCTTTCTTTTTTTATGTAAGCTATTGATTAACTCTATTAATTTACATATTTATCACTCATTTAATAGACATACATACTAAAAACCTAACTACTTCTTCGCTGGGAAAGAGGTTCTAGTTGGCTGATACTCTAATCTACACATAATATAATAGCACAAAGAGAAAAACTGCGGCTCCATTTCAAATTTCCTACAACGAGAGTGAATCTAGAAAGGACATTTTGGTGTACTGGAATCGAACCATGGTCACTTTAAAGAAAAGCAAGGAACATAACCAATCACACTAAGTATATTTGTTGTATCTTCTTAAATGAAAAAATAGACATGAACCTAAATTCTGAAGATCATATGACTTTTTCACGATTAGCTGATCACCAAATTTTCCGCGAGTACTTATTTGGTGTTTTGATACTTCGATTTCAATATTTTGATTATTTTAGTTGTATTTTAATACTTAATTTAAATTTCTATATATCTTATATATATGATAACCGTAAAGTTGCAGTCCAAATATCACTGATTTGAATATTGCATATCGAATTGCAATGTTAAACATGTAGAAGCAATGTCGAGTTCTTATATTAGTATTAGTTTTCAGAATTACACTGAAGCAATCATATCTTTGTGCAAACTATATGGCACTGGTTCCTTTAAGAATTTAGTCGGGTTAACTGCTACGTTATAAACCTCTTTATATATAATCTGGCATTATTGGATCCAACGATCATTATATGAGATTGAGTTTAGTAGGGTGGCTCATTTCACCACTTTTTGGCATGTTAATGAATTTGTAGGACAATGACATGTCTACATCTATTCTCATCACTCATCATAGTCTACACATAATATAAAGGTGAAATGAGAATTGAGGGATCCCATTTCAAATTTGCTGCATCTAGAGCAATGTTTTAGGGTAAATTTAGAAGGCACCAATGCGATCGGTCTGTTGAGCATGAAAGTAAAAACATGTTTTGATTTAGACGGGCCCAAACTGTGATTTGGCCCACTAATAGTGCACCCATCACAGCCTCGCCAAAGCTTCCCATTCTACTCACCAGGTCATCTCCTCCCCCACGAACCAACTCTCCTCTTGCACCCAAAATTCTCACTAAACCCTAATCTCTACAACCTAGGCCAGAGATTCTAACTAGAATGCGCAGAGGGAGCAACCGATCAATTGCATCTACCCCCACTATTATGATAGCTGATCAAGAAGACCATGTTTGTTCAGCTGTATGGTGATTCACTTAATTAACACACTCCACTCCATTGACAGCCTCCTCTCCTCAATTGTATTGTGTTCACGAAGATCTGAAGGCGGCAAGTGCAATAGGTCTAGGGGTAACCAATATGTATAAAGCGTTGGCCAATTTGAATTGAATCTTTCTATTTAGAATATGAAGATTTTTGCTTAATTGCTTTGGTTCGTGATGCAACTATGTTTGAAGGTAGACCAACGCAAACAACAGTATATTCCATCATCAGGTAGTTGAGGAATTAATTTATAATGATTTGGGATTATTCTAACATGTACATAATTTGGAACGTGCCTTTATATTGCATTGATTAATAGTTGTTTGAGATTTTTCAACTGAGTGGTTTGACATGTTAAACTCTCTTATTTTGGAAAATGGAACCTACAAAGTGGAATATGAAGATTTTGGATTAAGCTTGGTTGTGTAATGCCCTTATGGGTGTTTATTCTCTAAAATGCGACTGTCGTTCAAAGTAACCCATCGCAAATGGCAGGTCAGAATACAACGATGATACTGTTATACGTTTATATCATTAGCAGGAGTAGATTGTACCCATTCTACTGTATCGTTTAGTTAGATGCTTAGTTGTTCTTTTCAACAAAACGTTCTGCTTAAATGTTGTGATTGACCTGAGAAATATAGGGATGGCAGGCCGGGGCCCAAAAGCGGGTATCCGCCCGAAGCCCGCCCGATAAGGGCCCATGTTGGTTGAATTTTTGGGCCCGTTAACGGGTGGCGGTTAACCCGTTATCCGTCAACCATGGGTTTCGGGCGGTTGTGGTTCGTCCAGTATTCGCCCCGCGACCCGACCGACGGGTTACCCGTGCTAAATACGACGCCGTTTGGAAGGAAGTATATATTCTCCACTTTCCCTTGAGAAACCCTAGCAGCCGCCTCACTTTTCATTCTTCACCAAAAACGGAAACCCTAGTTTCCTTCTTCCTCTCAATCTCTCTGCCTCCTTTGTAGCGATTAGCGATCAGATCGCTAGATAATCGCGATCTGGCCGATTTTTCGCCATTCCCCCTCATCAATTCCTCCATTCGACCAATTGCATGGCTGGAAGAGGCGAAGAGCAACCATCCGACGAAGATTTCGTCGGTCGCAGTCCAAAAACGAGGCGTTCGAAGTTCGAATCGCGGATTCTTCGAGTCGAAAAGATAAGTTAATTCTGGGTATCTTTCTTTTCTTTCACCTATCTTCCCTGATTCCCCGTTCCCCCAACTCTATACTAACTCTTCTTGTACTGGTATATATAGGGGGGATTCAGAGCGGAGGGGTCGTTTCTCACCACGCCATCTTCTGAAATCGAGAACAAGACCACCCCAGTCGAGTCCACAGAGAGTGAGAGAGCAGAGATCGAGGGATTTAGCCGAGCCTCCAGACAGAGTCCAGTCATCGAGGGTAAGTTGCTTGGTCTCGTCTATACTTTTTATTAATTTATGGGTTAGTGGTGTCAATACAGACATGCATGCATTCATTTGCAGTTCTAACTTGCTTTGTGTTCGTTGTAATTGTTCACTCTTGTTTGGCCTAGGTTGGATCTGGTTTCGAGAACTGAAGTGGAACAGAGTCAGTGAGCACTTCAGTGAGTAGTGAGGGTCAGTCTACTGTCATTGGGTACTCGACAGTCCACATAAAACTACAATCCGAGAAGGTAATCCCGTCCTCCTCTCCTAAGCCTCAACTCACTGTGTTTGTCTGTTTGATTATAATGCTGCCACTTGTTGTGACAATCAGTGGATTCATAATGCTAATAAGTAAAATTAATGAAACTGTAATCGTGATTTTGATGCTAAAGATTTTTGTTTGCAAGTGTGGTCTTGTCATTGTGAAATGTGAATGTAACTAAGTTAATAAATAATAACTAAGGCTTAACTACTTAAGTAGTAATACATAAATTTTTTATGTTCAGATGGAAGGTGCTCCTACTGCTATAAATGTCGACCTTGCTCCCAATGTCAATGTCCCTGAACAACCTGTCCAACCTGAACAACCTGTCCAACCTCAACCTGAACAACCTGGTAATGTTGAGGAGCTTGAAGCTCAACGTAAGTTAACCTCTGATGTGTGGCCTCACTTCAACCGAGTTAGGGTTAATGGGGTTATGAAGGCTAGGTGTAAGTACTGTCGTAAATCCCTTGGTGGGGAAACAAGTAATGGAACTTCACACCTAAGAAGCCATATCAAAACATGTATCCAAAAGAGGATACATGATGGTTCTCAAAAAATACTTGGCCCTAACTATAAACCTGCTGGAAATCCTCAACTCTCTGCTTCTCAATACAATTATGAGGTTTCTAGGAAGGAACTTTGTTTAATGATTCTGGTCCATGAGTACCCCCTTAGCCTTGTTGATCATGTGGGTTTCAAACGTTTTTGCTGTTCTCTTCAACCTCAATTCGCTGTTCCTAGTAGAAATACTGTCAAAAAGGACATTTTGAGTTTGTTTGGTGTTGAAAGAGGTAAATATCAGACCATTATTGATGGTAATCTGGGGAGGGTTTCTGGTACAATTGATTTGTGGACTGCCAGAAATCAGAAAAGGGGTTATATGGCAGTAACTGGTCACTTCATTGATAATTCTTGGAAGCTGCGTAACATAATGCTGAGATTTATGTATGTTCCAGCCCCTCACACTAGTGAAAGGCTTGCTGATAGGTTGTTTGATTGTCTTTTGGATTGGAACATTGATGGTAAGTTGTCCTCAATCACATTGGACAACTGTACCACCAATGATTCCATGATTTTCCACATGAGAAATAAGCTTTTGAGCAGTGACTTGTTGCTTGATGGTAAATTGGTTCATATGAGGTGTTCTGCTCATATTTTGAATTTGATTGTAAGGAATGGTTTGGATGCAATCAAGGATGCTATAAATTTGATTAGGGAGAGTGTAGTTTACTGGAATTCTACACCTAAGAGGGTTCAAACCTTCTTCGAAGTTGCTAAGCAACTTAAGCTGTCTGTTGAGAGAAAATTAGTCCTTGATTGTCCAACTAGGTGGAATTCCACCTATCATATGCTCTCTGTTGCTATTCCCTACAAGGATGTGTTCTTTCGTTTGAGTTTGAGAGACAATCATTACACATCAGTTCCTTCTAGTGAACAATGAGAATTTGCTTCTACTATGATTGGGAAGCTGGAAATCTTTTATGAGATTACTGAGTTGTTCTCTGGTTCCAAATATCCCACTGCCAATATGTTTTTCCCCAAGATTTGTGATCTCAGACTTAAACTGAATGAGTGGGGTGTTGATCCCAATCCTGTGATATTTGGAATGGCTAGTCAAATGTCCATGAAGTTTGATAAGTATTGGGATGATATCCATCTTGTGCTTGCTGTATCGGTTGTTTTGGATCCTAGATATAAACTCCATGTGATTGAATACTATGCTGGAAAGTTTGGGAATACAGAAACTAATTTGGTTGCTGAGAATATCAAGCAAATGATATGTGGTTTGATTCGTGATTATCAAACCAAAGCTGAGAACAAATCTGGTTCTGAAACTGGAACTTCTTCTGGTTCTGGATCTGCCTCTGCCACTGAACTTGACTTTGAACTCTTTGTAAGTCAAAGGAAAAAGAGTAAGACTTCCTTGATTACAACTGAGTTGGATATGTATCTTGCTGAGGATATCATTCCTCGCACAATAGAGTTTGATCTGCTCTTGTGGTGGAAATTGAATGGTTTGAAGTATCCGACCTTGCAATCAATTGCAAGGGACTTTCTGGCAATCCCTATTACTTCTGTGCCTTCTGAGAGTGCATTTAGTTCTGGTGGGAGGTTGTTAGACCCTCACCGAAGCAGGCTGCATTATTCGACTGTTGAGGCAATGATGTGTACTAGGAGTTGGATAATGGAGGACATGCAACGAGGTAAAATGCAACTAAAACTCTCAAGTTTATTGTTTTACGTTTTAACAACAGTATGCACTCATTGAACTGGTTCTCTGCAGATTCGGAGGCTGCTGTGGAGGCATTGGATGGACTCTTCTCAACCATGACAGTCGAAGATACAACTGTGGAAGAGGCAGAACCTGGTGGTAAGATCAGTAGATCATTTTTCCATTGTGTGTTCTAATTTCTATTAGTTCATTTAGGAATACTTACCTTTGCATTGTTTCGCTTTTTCAGATCCAGAACTCACCTTAATGAGATCACCATTTGCCCATGAAGACTGATTGGTAATCTGCTGTGGGACCAAGGTAAAGGTCTTCTTTATTTGTTGTCATTGATGCAGACGTGTTATTCATTGGACATTTACTAACTGATTCATTCCTCTTGTATGTTCTTTACAAAGTTTCAATTGATGTCTGCTAGACTGCTGGTTTACATCAATTGGAATGAGGGTCAGGGGTGGTCGGGTGGATGATTGTAGATTGCTCAATGATTCGATGTTGCTGGAACCTAGATGGAATGTTGCTGCGCTGCTGTTGCTTGGAACACATTTCATTCTACAGTTTTTTCTTAAGAATTAGACATTTAGAATTTAGAGTCGGCTGATACTTGTTGGTTGTTTGGTTGATTTGATAATTTCTATCACAAACACGAAATAAATGTTTGTTTTGGTTGTTGTTGCTGAGCTGCTGGCGTAGTGGCATCAATTGCAGCTTGGCAAGTTTTTTGTTTTTCATTTCAAGTCCTTTTGAGTCTTTGACAGATCAGTTATTAATAATACAGTGAGAAGAGTCCAGTTTTCCAGAATATCAATGTCATTTTCAAATTTATTTTTATGTTTTAGTGGGTACAATGGACCCGCGGGCACCCGAATACCCATTGGGTTTTTGGATGGTTGCCCAACATGCCCCGAATGTCCGTTTGGGCCGGGGACGGGGATACCCGAGGCCCATGGTGGGTGGGCAACGGATCCGGGGTACCCGGCCCCGATCCGCCCCGTTGCCATCTCTAGAGAAATATATGTCTTTGCATTAACTGTTAGTGATTGTGAGTTTTGGTTTAATGGTGAAAATTCCATTTATTTAGAAGTAATCCAACGCTTGAATTTCATTTTGAATTTTAAATTGGACAAAACTATTAGAAAATATGCATGCCATATATTAGTGTCTACTTTTACTGAAAGTTGAAGCAGCCAAAAATAGAGGATTATTTGTTGTGACAGAGAGTCCCTAGAGCTAGCAAGGTCTTCCTATGCGGGATTTTCTGTTGTTTGACTGTTTCACGCCTTTTTTCTTATCTCCTTTTCTATTTTTGTTTTTTGTATACTACTTTCAGCTGCTTGATCTTCATTTGTGAGCCATCTATTTTTCTTATTTAGCGCCTAAAAGTCATCTATACACGATTGCATAGTAGTTACTAAAAGGTATATTTAAACCAATAGAGAGCTTTTAAGTTTTATCAGTTGTTAGTTTCAACATTTACCTACATTGTTCGTTTATGTAGTTTTCTTTGTAACATTTCTTCATTATACGACTAACAACTTTGTCTACGTAGTTGTATAAGTGGGGGGTTTGACATGATAGTTCTGAGAAGTATCAATACTTGAAGGTTATTATAATGACCAAATATTAAGTTATGATTTGCCTTCAACTTGCTTGGAGCATTTTAGATATGCTTCAATTGTTCTCTCTTTGTAGTTGACTCTCAGACAAATCGAAAATCATGCTGATTTGTGCTTGATTGTAGTTAAATTTAGGGTTCTACTGCCTTCTTCAAAGCCTTCGGTTTAGTTGTTGGCTTTGAGGTTAGCAGGGTTGCGCCCTCTGGTTGTTCATACAACAATGGGTTATAGTAACTTCCCTTGAGTTCAGTATTATTATTTTTCTGACCGTTATCTATTTTTCGCTTAGAAATAGTATGAACATTATATCATTTGGCACAATGTATAGTTTGACTACTTGATTACTATTCAAGTGGAATTGATCTAGCTTATTGGCATTCATGTAGTTTACTGATATGAAGTTGCTCCTCTTTGAATTACAAAAATATGCATAGGCGGATATTTGAAGAAAACCCCTTCCTCTAGCTTATCCCTTTTGCTCCTTTGCAAGTGGTTTCTTATTTTTTTTAGTTGTCCTTCACGAATGTAAATGCTAAGGTTGTTTTTCTTATCTGCAAAATTTTGAGGATTTGAGGAGAAAATTGGAATGTCATCAACCTTTAACTTCTATCATATCAATATTTTGGCAGTCAATTTTTGGCTGCTTCAACTTTCAGTAAAAGTAGACACAAAACCTTATCCTCAAAACCCCTCTCCCTAGATGCCAACAAAGAGACACAAAAGTCTGGCACTTTACAAAAAAATGGCTCCTATACAGTGAAAACGGGATACCATCTGGCTTTAGAAATCTCTCTAGTCTCAAGTCGAAAACCCCTGGCCCAAATTATAGATCCACCTATCTGGAAGAAAACATGGGAAATTCTGGTTCCCCCAAAATTAAAATTCTTCATTTGGCAGTGTCTAAGAGTGATATTACCAACAGTAGTAGCTCTTAAGTCTAGGGGGGTCAATTGTCGTACCCGATGCCCGGTTTGCTGGAGAAGTCCAGAAAGTATTGAACACCTATTCTTCAGATGCCCCTTGGCCACCAGGTTGTGGTCGCTTATGGGCCTAAATGACTTCATTGCCTCAACCCCGACTGTGAATTTCAGTCTCTGGTGGCGACATGTTATGCTTTGTGAGCACCCCCAAACCCATGTTCTCCTGTATGTCTGCGTATTGTGGAGAATCTGGAAGTCTCGAAATAAGGTGGTATTTGAGCATTTGCAACCTCATGCCCAGTCTTTAGCTCGCCAATGTTTTTTCCAAGTTTGTTAAGTCTCCTCCTCTCTTCCTCCTGCGCCTGCCCCTCCCCGTCAACCCCCGAGTTCTCTCCTCCCCTCCTGGGTCCCTCCTCCTGATGGTTTTCTGAAGATCAATTTTGATGCTGCGGTTCGTGTTTCCGGTTGTTCGTCTGGTCTAGTAGTTCGTGGAGCAGACGGGCATGTAGCTTTTGCAGTAGGGTTTCAGCACCCCGGCATTGCTGACCCCTACCTCGCGGAACTTCTTGCGGCCAGGGACGCCGTCTCCCTGTTGATCTCCAAGTCCCTCCCGCGTGTCATCATCGAAGGTGATTCAGAAGTGGTGATTCGTCAGCTTCGTCAGGGTGTTTCTTCTGATTCCCTAGGAGGGCCGGTGCTTCGGGATTGCTTCCTTCTCCTCTCTTCTGTCTCTGTCTCCTTAGAGTTTAGGGCAGTTCCTCAGACTGCTAACAGGGTTGCCCATAGAGTGGCGCAGAAAGCCCTGCTTCTTTCTCCTCTTGAGTTATGTTCTTTCGATTTTGTTGGGTGGCTTCATTGATGTAATAGGTTGGGAGGTTGTCGGGTAGATTGTGTAGTTCTTTCTTTTGACATTTCTTGGAAAAAAAACTTTCAGTAAAAGTAGACTTGCATCTGTTTGCGTGAGTGTCTTTTGCATGATGTTAATTCCAAGAATGAGAAATTTTTCAGTTCTTTTTTGGGTTTGAAAATATTTTTGCTACTGGTTCTTGTGATGTGGGTTGAACATAGAGATCTTTAAGTCCGCATGCAGCTTTTTCTTACCGGGTTGTGAACATTTTTGCTTATTTTTCAGGTCGACCTATGTAGATATATTCAGTGGAACTGGTCTGGATCTAGAGAACAATAGGTGCAATTTATGTTGTTATGAATATATCCTCTACGTAATACTTATATAGTACCATTAATAAATTATCAGATTAGAGAATAGACAAGTGAAAGTTTGAGGCGGTTGATGAATTTTTTTATTCGGATGTTGTAATGATTAGAGTCCATCCTCCTTTTGACATTGAATTTTTTTATTAGTTATGACAAGGTTTCCTTGCATGAAGACAACGTCATATGTTTTTTTTAACATTTTCACCACTTTATCTTTTAGCACAACCTGCTATCCAGCGTGTGCATTCCTTTTTACAATCTATGACCACCTATGGATCCACACCTAAGCCATCACTACACAGAAGTACCGACAACATTGATGTTGATGTTGTTATTGTCAAAGATTGTATGTGTTTATCGCATCTTCCAATCACTCTAAAGGAAAACATGATGTCATAGAACCATCGCTCCACAACGTTCCTCCATTTTATTATCATTCTCTTTTTCTTGCGAATGCTCATTATGGTGGGAAGATAAAACAAACTAGAAGGACGTAGATCGTATGTTTTCTTCTTTTTAAGTGTGTTTCATGCCTGTATATTTTGCAAACAAGCTATATTTGGATTCTCACCAACATTTGTGTCTTCGTCTCAATTTGAATAATTAAATTTGTATTTATTTTGATTTCAAAATTTTAATCTTTCTTATAATTACTTTTGCAACTATAAGGGATTTCCCTACTCTCGGAAATCTCTTATCCAATTCGAAATGAAGTGTTATTCTCGCCCATTTGGTATAGATACAATGAATACACTAGATATTCAGCTTAACTAACTCGAAGTAAGTCTCAATTATGCAGTACTCTTTGTTATCATAAACACCGAAACAAATTCACTCGCTTATTCTCTGCTCCATTACCAACTAATGACAAGTGACTAATGAGATGTCGCCCTTACAATATACATGAGCCAAGATCATTATTACATCCATAACAATAATTTAATGTTTGGCTCCACTAACTCCGACCAACGGGTCGGGTTATAAGCTAGTATCTATTATATATACACTAACGGAAGAGCAAGTCTGATACGTAAGAGAGAAGCCGAAGAGCAAGTCTGATACGTAAGCTGAAAATCCGAAGAGCAAGGCTACTGCGTCTTCCACCTCCCCGCCAATATGCGTATAGCCAATTCTCGAGAGGAGGACTATGAACAATAAAAAGTATATTGATCTTCTTACTTCTCGAGGAAAAATTATGTTCCGTAGGTCTCAACTTCAATTTTGGTTTAACTATTATGATTCAGCTTCTTACTTAAAACGATATGCTTTCGTTATGGGTCGGCATGGTTAGTTCTTTAATTTCATAAAGCAATTATGATCTTTTGGAAGTTTGGATGGCTAAACATCGCTCTAGTTTTACTATTATCGTCCTAACTTTAAAGTTAAACTTACTAAATTATCCTCTATTATTCAAATAAAATAATTAAACAACCCAATAACTGCGCTCGATACCATATGACTAAAGCCCTAAATCACTACTTGATTTTTCCTTCTTTATTCCTGCTCCATCAATGGAGTTCAGAGGAGGAGACAAGAAGATTCATATCAAAGGAGGAAAGATGTTTTGAATCGCGAGAATGAAGTTGAATAAATGTGTCGACTCTAGTTCGGTACCTGAAGCCCAAGACATGAAGCCGGAGGCCGATCGGGAGAAGTTAGGTTGAGAGCAAAGATCAGAACTCCGGGATTCAACCTGATCTCGCTTGGATTGATGGATGCCGATAAAATTCTCAAGTATGAGTTGATCATGGAAGACGAGAGGCGTTTGGCAAAGGAATACAGTACGGTTTTGACGAGGAAGCATAGGGCGAGGCAGGAGGCGGAGATGAATCTGCTGAGGACAAAGAAATAGAACAAGATTATACAGAGATACAGGAAAAAATTAGTTTTGATCCAAGCCAATTAAAAGATCATTGCCTGCTGGAGAGCTCTAACGGCATGCAACGGGACTCCATGATTTGGTATTTGTTCCGGAACGGGAAACAGAGAGATGAGAGAGAAGACTTTGGACTTTGCTACGGTGACATGCACTTTTCGGTCGACCACATATAGGATTAGGTCGACCTAATCTGTTGTTTCAGTGTAAAAACCGTTTCATGGTGCCTACTTTGGAGATTCATATCTTGCAATTGGCTAGATGGAAATTGGAGATTAATGGCTTGTTTTGAAGCTGAAGTGTCCTTCTACACATTAAAGTACTTGGGAGCTCGATAGGAAGTCCATAAATACCATTTTGAACCTGATCAAAAGGATATGCCAAAACTGGGAAACTGCCTGAAAATGGCCAGTCTGGGAACGCGTTTGTGAAGCCTACTTTGGAGCTCAATTTGAGAAGCATGAATGCGATTCGAGTCTAGGGGCCTCTACCACGTCAAATTAGATATGTTTGTCTACAAATTCAAGGCATTGGATGAAATATTGGATATATTTAAGGCTTCAAACAAAAGGCTCGAAGTTGCTACGAAAGCTGTTTTTCTGGCAGCTTGCTTGTGCTCGAAGTCTGCCAGAAAAACAGCTTTTGTAGCAACTTCGGCCCTTTTGTTTGAAGCCTTAAAGATATTCAATCTTTCATCCAATGCCTTGAATTTGTATACAAAAATACCTAATTTAACGTGGTAGAGGCCCATGGACTCGATTCGCATTCATGCTTCTCGAATTGAGCTCCAAAGTAGGCTTCACAAATACGTTTCCAGACTTGGCCATTTTCAGGCAGTTTCTCAGTTTTGGCATAACCTTTTGATCAGGTTCAAAAATGGTCTTCTGGACTTCCTATCGAGCTCTCAATCACTTCAATATGCAGAGGGACACTCCAGCTTCAAAACAAGCCATTAATCTTCAATTTCCATCTAGCCAATTGTATAATATGTATCTCCAAAGTAGGCACCATGAAACTGCTTTTACACTGAAACAACAAATTAGGTCGACCTAATCCTAAATGAGGTCGTCCTAATCCTAACTGAGGTTGACCAAAAAGTGCAAGTCACCGTGACATGCATGTAACTGTAGGCGCATACTAAACTTTTTTTTATTGGTGAATTGAGTTTTGTTTGTTAAAATAATTTATCTTTTAACAATAAAAAAAGAAAAGATAAAAGTCGTAGTTTTTAGATTAGGGCAATTATAATTAGGGTGACAATTAGCAACCCCATTTGAAAGTATGTACTTGTCACGTTTCCAACCGAGAGAGACAGACAAAGGGATGGGAAAATACGGTTGGGGCCGTGGGGTTGGGGGTTTGCGATAATATAGAATAGTGTAATTTTAGCTATTATGTTGTCTGATTCCTTTTACTCCTTTGTTTCTAATAATTCTATAAAATATTTACTAGAAACGACAAAGAGATGAAGAGGAAGAACAAGGTTGTGATGCCCTATGCAATGGGAAGACTCGCTCTTCATCAAAGCTTCAGGTTTTGTAAAATTTCAGTTTTCAATTTTTTTATTGTGCGTTTCCTAATGGTCTTAACTTAGTCGAAACTTTTCCGTGTGTAAAGGTGCCGGAGAAATATGTATCTCCGACAAAAAAAAAAAAAAAAAAACTTGTTGATGGTGTAATTCCTCCATCAACTTCTGGTTCTAGCGTGATCATTATTCCTGATGATGAAGCAGAGGTCAATCACATTGTTATCCCTGATGATGAAGCAGAAATCAATAACGATGTGGTAAATGGTAAAAGCATTACCAAATTTTCTGGCAAGGTAAAATTCTCTAACAAATTTTTTATTTATGCGAAATCAAAAAAATTCCATTAAGCACCGTCAACCATAAAAAAAACATGATGTGCCTCTCAAACTTTTACAACCGAAAAACTAGACAGGTAATGCTATATCCTATCTATATACTACAACTCCTTCTGAAGGGCAGAGTCACAAGAAACTCTATACAAAACATCTGAAAGGACTTGCTTTACTATCTCCTCGGGCAGCCTAATCATCTTCGATCCATAGAGCCGAACACATCTCTCGCGCCAAATATAACTAACGGCCGTGCTCCAAATCAAACGACACAAAGCTTGCCTTGGCACCTTCTTCCCCCAATGCTGAACACACCAAGCCACTACTGCATTCCATTCGCCCTCAGCTGGTGGTGAGAACTGCTTTAAACAATTCCACAACACATATACAGTGAACGAACAGGAAACCAAGAGGTGATTTCGGGACTCAACTCCACCCGGAAACAACAAACAGAATCCAGAAACTTGTTTTCCCCACGCTAACAACTTATCATGCATCACCAATCTATTGTGCAAGGCCATTCAAACAATAAAACCATGCCTAGGAATAACTTCCTTAGACCACACAAGCTTAAACCATTCCACATTTTGCAGGTGCACTCTAATAGCATCCCAAACTCTTTTGACAGAATATCTATTCATTTGTTCACCCTGCCAGAAAACGTTAGGGGGGATACCTGAAATATGAGGAGCAGCAATTCCTCAACACTTCAGAAGTCTTCGCCAAACCCACGTTCCAGCAGAAGAACTAGAGATCTCCCAAATGCTCTTCTGCTTTAGTCTAACAATTTTTCTTTCTTACAGTTGAACAATTTTTTTATTTTTTATTTCTATTTATTGGATTCCTTCATTGTAGGGCGGTTTGAAGTTTCGGCTCCCAACATTTGTGGTCTACAACGATGAGCAAGTAAATCTTGCTCATTATATATTTTTAGTTGAGCTTTCGGGCGACGAGATTCTTGTCCAAACTTTTCACATAAATGGTACCAAAAAGGCTTTGTGGACCTTAAGCCCAAAGTCGTTCGTACATGCTGATGTATGTTAAATTTTGTTTTACCATTTATCACAATTTGTAATGGGTTTTATTTGGTGGTTTATTAGGTTATTACAGCAATGGCCTGCCACCTAACATGAGATGAATTGTGGAAGAATCCTGAAAGTGGAAAAGGAGTATGTTTTTTGTCTTCGGAACTACAGGTAGGCTATGATTTTTGTTGCATTCTTATTTGAATTCTTATTTGTTAGTTACAAGACAGAAAAGAGCGTGTGATGTTTGAAATAATGGATTGGATGCCAAAAACAATGAATATTATTCCACCCGAGAAGGCAAGCGGTAAACAATTTTTTTTTTTGTTAAAAGATATCATGTATTGATCCAAAAAATAGACAGTTACACCGTGGAAATCAGCCAGGTCTGGAAATCAAAGAAGCGACTTATAGTCGGATACAAGGAGAGGGCTTTCCTAGCTACCAAATGAGCTACCCTATTGTTCTCCCGACCTACAAAACGCACATTAAAGCCAGGCTGGGTATGAAAATAATGACCAATCTCGTGTCAAATTTATATTTCACCAGGTGTTTACACCTAAAACATTTGTGGCCTGAATTCAATGCCGTAATAATGAGTCTCGGCATTTAATTCGATATCGCATGGCCAAAACGATGTCATTTGGAGTCGAGCAATGCCGCGGAGAATTTAAGCGAGACCGCGAAGAGGCTCGGCGGTACCGCAGTACTTAAAACGACATTGGTTGCAGACCATGTGTGAGTCATGCGCAGGACATGTGTTGCTGTTGGACAAGGAATGTTTTTATTTTATTTTTCCTTGTCGGAGGAGGAGAGTAACAACACCGTTTGGAGTCAAGCAATGCTGCGGGTAGAATCAAGCGGTGTTGTTTAGTTAAAAACGATACCGCGAGTAAGCCCAACGGTACCGTTGTGCTAGAGAAAACGACAGTGTTTAATATAAAACAATGTCGCGGAGAAAAAGCAAACGGAGCTGTTTGAGGAAGAAAACAGAGCTGTTTGAGGAAGAAAACGACACCGCAAGTAAGCCCAACAATGTTGCGGTACGTGAAATATTTAATTAATGCGGTGTCGCAAGGCTAAAAATGCCGCTAGTTAAACAACAACGCAGCGGAATTGATGTCGCAGTCGCAAATCCAGTGGTGTTGCGAGTTCGACAACGCCGAGAATTCAACGATGCCGCAAGGCCAAAACAACATCGTGGAGCTCAACGACGTAGTGAGCTTGACGGTGTTGCAAGATGAGCAATGTCGTGAATGGGTTCAACGACGTCGTTATGGAAACTTTGTTGGTGGAGGCGTAAACGACGTCGCGGGCTCATGAAAATAACGGAGTTATTTTCTTGCACGGGAGATTTGGGAGTGAAGAGAAGATTAAAGCGGTTGAAGACTACGACTCTGTGGATAAGAGTGAAGACACGTGGGAGTTCACGACGGAGCGGTTGAGGAAGCAGTTCCACAGGGCGTGAAGACTACGCAAGTGATTTCAAATAAAAGCAGCGGAGCAAGGAGAGAGAGGGGACAACAAAAAATCAACACAGAACAACTCTGTCAAAATTTTATCTTTTCTCTGTAACTCCTTCGCGGAGCTCTCCTTCTAGGAAGGATCTCCATAGTTGTAGTCTTAGTCGTAGTCGCGGAGCTCTCCACAGGAATCTCCATAGGAGTAGTGGTAGTGTAGATTCCTCAAAAAACTCAAACACCCTCGTTCGAACGTAGTTTGGAGAGGTGCGAACCGTAGTAACGGTCGCGTTGGTTAGAAGTCAGAGGTGCATCGATCAGATCAACATCGCCCGGCGGTGGATATTTGACGGTCACGTTGATTTCAGCATTCATAGGTGCATCGATCAAATCAACATCGCACGTCGGTGGATATTTGACGATCGGCATCGTTTTCAGAAGTCAGAGTTGCACCGATCAAATCAACGGTGCCGACATTCGGCGACGGATATTTGACGGTCGTCTCGATTTCAGCAATCAGCGGTGCATTCGATCAAACGGCACCGCAAGAGTTTCTACCGTGAAACATCAAATCAACATCGCCGGAAACGAATTCGGCACCGGCGGTGGCATTTGATTTTCCCGAGGAGAAGGC